ATATCTTCTTAAAACTAGTATGCTACATTCCTACCGGATAGACACACCAATATTTGAATGACCCAAAAATTGGTAATATCTGAATATGTTCATATTTATAACTAGAATATATTATATGGATATTATATGACTCACATTTAAGCTTAAAGAAGCAAGAAAAGAGGAGATTAATGAACTAACAAAATTTAAAATAAAAATAAAAATATAAAGATGAGCAAGGGAAAGTTTATAAAACAGATTCCAATTGAGAAAGCAGATTACAACTCAACGAAAACATTTGAATCTTCTTTGACGAAAAGCAGCAAATGTGCGATGCAGGTATTAAACAAATGCATAACCCGCAACCGCAGTTAAATAAATAAAAAATCCTTGAACCCGCCCTGCCCCACCGCTGCCCCGCCCCGTTTGCCATCCCTATTTCGAGGGCGCTAGGGTTGGTCTCAGCCAAAGGGGCGACAATCCAGGATTTGCCAGGAGGGCTGGTCCAAGGCCACTTTTCTTTTTATTTAATTAGTTATTTATGATTTTGCATATTGCAAACTGAAGAAAATAAAAGAAAACTGCCTTGCTCAAAAAATAAGAAGAGAAAATTGGACACAACTGTGTAAAAGAAAACTCCGAAGCCCTATAGACCTTGGAGAGAATGAAGGATATATATAGAAGGACAAACTTAATTTTCTAGTTTTATAGAACGATGAATTTCATTTTAGAAACATAATATACGAACAGGCGGAATTCATATGGGGTATTCATATAGCTAATTGCAACTGCTTTAGATTGAGACTGATTGAACTTATAGGTGAAAAATAATGAACGATTCCTTCATTAAATTGTTTAAATTATCGCCTGAATTAGAACTTTCTTGAATCTGTGAACTAAATTTATGTTTTTTTTACGAGTCTATGACTAAATTCTATTATCATTTCACTCTCATTACTGTTGACTTCAGAACGATGACGCTCAATGGATATATGAATATAGGCTAAATATTAGGGGTGGAAGAGTGAAACTTTAGACTCGCATAGTTTTGGGCTTGCATGTTGGTTTTACGTTTTTTTTTTGGGGTGTATTCTTCCGAGATCTAGCTACCAAAGCTGTGGTTGGGTGGTTTGACGATCCATTCAATTTACGAGTGCTTTCTCTAAACAATTGAAAATTCAACCATATATAGAGGTCAATGTATATGGATCCGACCTATTTTTTGGGCCACAAGACGGTTCGCTTGAAGGCCACGACCGATCCAGGTTGAGGCAGGTTCTATTCATCAAGTGGAGGACAGGGTGTTGGGTGGTCCCTGGCCTCCCCTTAGTGGTCTGGACAAGTCCACTTGCCATGTTCGTTACTTCAATCCAGAGTGGATCTAGAGTCTTATATGCTTCTGATTTGTTATGAGGTCCTTAAGTTTTATGGTACACTTCCCCTATGGGGCATGTTCAGCTTTGTTATCTGGCTAATCTTCTTGTAACACACATTTCAGCATGGTTTCTAACTAAGTTCCCGTACAGGCGCTAACGCGTGCTAGGGTGCCTATAGTCAAGCTTATGGATCCAGAAACTGGGATATCATGTGATATATGTGTGAATAATGTTTTGGCTGTTGTTAACACAAAGCTGCTTCGAGATTATGCACACATAGATGTGCGATTAAGGCAGTTGGCATTTATCGTCAAGCACTGGGCTAAGTTGAGAGGGGTAAATGTAACTTACCAGGGGACATTATCTAGCTATGCGTAAGCCTATGTTTTCTCAATTATTTTCTTTTCCTCTCTCATTCTCTTATACAGTAGGCTAACTTTTATTTTCTACTTCCAGGTATGTGCTAATGTGCATTCACTTTCTACAGCAGCGAAGACCTGCCATCCTTCCATGCCTACAGGTGTGTTTTCTTTAGCTCCTGTGTTATGATATATGCCTTGCATGTGAAACTTGTAAGATTTGCAAACTACCTGAACTGTTTGTCAGTAAGCCATAACTGCAAGGATGTGCGAACTATGTGTTGTTTGGTTGAGTGTGAATGGCTTTCCTCATCAATTGTAATCGGGGGCGGAGCTAGCGTGTTGGTCACGGGTTCGGTCGAACCTAATAACTTTGGTTCAAATTCTGTATTTGTTTTAGGAAATTCATTGAATACGTACAAATTATTAATTTGGACCCAGTAACTTAAAAAAAATTAGAATCCCGAACCCATAAACTTCGAATATTAGCTCCGCCTATGATTGTAACTCTTCTCCTCTAGACAATGACTCTGCAAATTATTAGTTGTTTGACTTTGATTGAGCTCAAATTACTTTTGCTCAATCTATTCTAGTCATATGTACAATGACTCTTCTTTCTTTCACGTGCTCCTTCAGTTAAGCACGTATAGTTTTCTGTGAATAACCAAACTGTTTCTTCTTAGTTTTCACTGTATGATTGTCCGCATGGATGCATTTGGAACTTATGAGCTGTGGGTGTTCATGTGATACCATTTAAAATTCTATCAGCATCTTGTACTAGTTAATTTACCCTCTCACCAAAAGACACCAAGATTCTGTCCTGTATTCTAAAAGGTAGGATTTAAAAAGTATGATCAAGAAAGAACTTAAATGATTCCTTCTCAAAGAAAAAGGAATATAAATGTTTTATTCACATGGGCAAATGAAAAGAATGAGCAATATGCTTTAGCATTTACCATAAAGTAACATGAAACATGCATGCTGTTTTCCTTATTTTTTCTCCTGTCTACAAATTATGTGTAGTTCACTTACTGCCATTTGGTTAATCAATATCTTTTGAAAAAAGTTAATCAATTTATTAATTTGTCATAACTCATTTGGAACGATAATGTGTCATGTCTTTGCTTTGGAATATTTACCCTTTACCAGGGCCGGCTCCAGTGTTATGGAAGGTAAGACTTGTGCCTTAGGCCCCCAAATTTGAGGGGGCTCATTTTTTTAAAAATAATAGGTTTATAGGTATTTAAAAATAATATTTAGTACTTTTAATATAAAAGTAGAGTTTTTAATATAAAAAGAAAGAAAACTTTTTTGATATATAAATAAAGTAATAACTTAACTTACTTAAAAATGGGTGGATGAATAGTTCTCCTAGTGTTTTAATTTTTCACTTTTTACTCCTTCATTAGATAACGTGTAAAAATTTTACTCTATTCCTTAATTTGTCCAAGTCAATCTTTCTTATTTACAATCTCTTCATATTTCAGAAACTTCTACTTATTTTCTGTATCTCTTTGATATTCTTACTTACCTTCTTTCTCCAAGATTTCATTAGTTCAAGTGCTCAACAATACTTTTAAGCTTCCAATAGTTATATACTTCTATTGCTCTATAAAATCTTATTTTTAATCAACAATTTCTCAAGAAAGATTAAATGATGAATTGGCTATATTATCAATTGAGAATGAATTATTAGAAAAAATCGATTATAAAAAAGATTATTAAAAATTTGTATCTCAAAAAGTTAGAAGAATAGACTTCAAATAAAAACAATCTTATAACTTTCTTTTAAAAATTTAGGCTCCATATTAAACTTTGGCTTTAGCCCCCACATGTTCTTGAGCCGCCCCTGTCCTTTACATGTGTTACTTCTCGGGCTTGCAACCTGGTTGGGATATCAAAGTCTTTTCTAGTGGTGGCAAAATGGATTAAAAAAAATAATTATCCATCCATATTATTCACTGTGTTGAATAATGAACTTTTTAAAAATAGGTCATTTTTAAAATGGGTCAAATATAGATAAGATCCATATTATCCGCTTAAAAAATGGATAACCAATGTATGTTTTTACATTTGCAAAAACTCAAATTGGGGGTTACTCAAATTTGGGAGACTAGGAATGCTCCAAAAAGTGATCATATTCAAGAAGTCATGGATAATATGATTATCCATATTATATGCCGGTTAATCCATTTTCTATCCGTATTAAATATGGCGGGTCGGATTTTTTTATCCGATTTTGGCATTACCCGTTTTCGACCCGCCCGTTTGCCATCCCTATTCTTGCCTTTGATCTATTCTTGCTATATATTTCTTAACTCACAAGAGAAACCAAAAAACTTAAATCTAGAGGGGAATTCAGGCAAATGTATAATTGGAAGGGCACTTCTATCTATGTGCTACTTTATGTGAAGATAGTTATTCTTTTGTCATATTCATTTCCCCTGTTCGCTTATCAGGGAATGCAGCCAACCTACTCTGTTACTGTTGACAACATTGAATGTGCTTACTTTGATAAAGTGGAAAAGCTTTGTGGTTTTGGATCCCACAATGGGGAAAGTCTTGCTCGGTTGGTGTGGGCATTCTTCAACTACTGGGCCTACTGTCATGATTATGCAAATGATGTTATTTCTGTTCGTACAGGAAGCATGTTGAGGTAGGTCATTGCAGCTACACAACTGTTTTGTTCTTGTTGATTATTTGTTTTTGAAGATTTTCAAAATGAAATGGCATTAGTCATTTAGTGGTTCTGTTTTGGGTTGCTTACTACTACTCTTCCTGTATGGTTATGTACAGCAAGCGAGCCAAAGACTGGACTAGGAGAATTGGGAACGACCGCCATCTGATATGCATAGAGGATCCCTTTGAGGTTTCTCATGATCTTGGTAGGGTGGTAGACAAGTTCAGCATAAGAGTACTGAGGGAAGAGTTCGAACGCGCTGCTGAAATAATGCAGTGTGACCCGAACCCCTGTGTCAAGCTCTTTGAACCCTATATACCTAGCTAAGTTTGCCTTTTTCCTCAAGGAAACTGTCCCATAATTCTAAGAATGCCCTTTTGGATGTAAAATCGTTATTAAGTTCGGTTTTTTGTCTCTCTTCTCGTTTTTGCTTTCACCTAAATGTATTTAGGAATTAGGTGCTTTTGATCATCATCTAGGTGTCTATTTTTGTATGTAAAGAACACTGTCCTAGAATTCTGTGGTACATATTTATGTTGCGTATTATTAAGGCATGGAATTGTTGCAATGGTAACTTGATTTGTATGCTGGCCTTCTAGATTCGTGGATCATAACTATAGTAATTGATCAGGAGAATAATCGTTGCTGAAGGAACCACAATGTAGAACTTACATTTTATCTGGTAGTAAATTAATTATTCAATGATATACATGCATACTTTGTGATGAATTGTCATGAGGTCAAATCTGAACCTGAAAAGACCCAGTTCTAGTCCTCTATTCATTCATCTATAACTGGAGAAATCAATGGTTTATTCGAGAAAAAGGCTTCTAAGTTGGCCAGAACTAGTTGGAAAGCATCGCGAAAAGCTTCCTCAGTGAAAGCAGCTCTATGTGGTGTAAGAACAACATTATCCAATGCAATTAATTCTTGAGGAACCTTAGGTTCATTCTCAAACACATCCAAACCAGCACCTGCTATCTCACCTTCAACCAACAACTTCACCAGTTCTTTCTCATCGACGATAGGTCCACGAGCAATGTTGATGAGAATTCCATCCTTCCCTAATGCTTTTAGAACATCCTTGTCAATCATGTGACGAGTTTCGATAGTCAATGTACAGCATATGACGAGGATGTTACAGTTGAATGCAAGTTCACAGACGTTTGGGTAGAAATCGTAGGGAACTGGCTTCTTTTGCCTAGAGTTGTATGAAATTGTGCAGCCAAATGCCTCTAGCCTTGTTGCAACTTTTAAACCGATGTTGCCTAAACCAACTATTCCCACATGCTTACCTCCCAACTGCAAATGAGCAAATGCCAAATAAAAGACCAACATTAGATCAATTAACATTTTAACTAGTTAATTGATTATAACTAGCTGTGAAAGTTGTACAGTATCAAATGTTGTGATGAAATAGAAAGTATTCAATTTTTAACGAGCCTCGGAAAAAAAGGGTTTTTGGTAGGAAGCACGTTATCCCATAGTGGGACTTTTGGCACAAATCCGGACTATTCAGTTTCCAAAACGAATACCGAGTACTAGACGGGAAACCATAAAATTTTATAAATACAATATTATGTAAAATACCCGATATATACATACCAAAATTGAAAAGAAAATTATAAAATTGGACCTAATAAATTTACTACTACATTTTGTTATGGTGAATATGAATATTGTTATACCTTGGAACCCAAAGGATACTGAACGTTTTTAGGCCAAATTCCAGAGCGAACAAACCGATCACCGGAGCTAATTTTCCGAAGTACGTCAATCAACAAACCGACACCAATATCAGCAGTATCCTCAGAAAAGACATCAGCAGTATTAGCAACGGCGATACTTCGGCGACGGCATTCGGGGAGATTGATATGGTTGAAGCCGGTGCTAGCAGTGACAACGAGTCCAAGAGAAGGGAGATGGCGGAGTATAGGGCTCTTGCCGTAGCAGATAAGGGCCTTAGTGGACTGAGCGTGGGCCTGTAGGAAGAGCTCTGTGGAGAGTGGAGATTCGTAAGCTTTGAGAAGTTTGAATTTTTGTGAGAATTGTTGTTGGTGGATGATGAATACTGGAGGTGGATGTATGACTAACAGCTCTGGCAGCTCCATTTCCACTTCAGATTTGATGAAATGGTTGTATTTCTTTTTTCTTTTGATCGTTGGAAATTTTGTTGAAATTAAATTAAATTAATTTAATGCAAATCAAACTCATCAATTTGTCCCTACCTTTTTCCTTATATTGGTGGGACCCTGTGGAATCCAATAACATGTGCCCCAAAACAAAAAAGGAGTTACTATCAAACTCAACAATGGCAGAACCCAAGGACGAGCTGCCGGCGGTGATAGTCCTGGGCCGGCCATCGGTTCTTAATTTCTACGGCGACCAATTTTCCTCAAAATTCCGACTCTTAAAGCCATGGGAATCTTCACTTCCATTGGACCAATTCATTTCCACACACGCTCAAACCGTACAGGCTATGTTTTGCTCCGGCACGACCTGCGTTACTCCGTCGTTGCTCCGCCAACTTCCTTCTCTTCGGGTAATCGTTACCACCAGCGCCGGCCTTAACCATATGGATCTCGACGAGTGCCGCCGCCTCGGAATTTCCGTTGCTAACGCTGGTACCGTTTTCTCGGAGGATGTAGCTGACTTTGCTGTTGGATTGTTAATTGATGTACTTAGAAAGATATCTGTTGCTAATCGGTTTGTTAAGAATGGACTTTGGCCTCTTCATGAGGATTACCCACTTGCTTCCAAGGTACTGTCACTTAGCTTTCTCCATTGATATCTTAAAATTTTGTGTCCGGATTGTAATTCTTTTCTTGTTACGATTTTGTAATTGTTGTTGAACTCATAATTGCATTTTAGTACTCTCACATATACATGTGGTTAGGAAAATCATCCATTTTGGTTAAACATGAATAAACCTGGGATTGTGCCTAAGGTTCATAGGTTGCCCAATTTGGGTATGTTTAAGCTCCTAAATTTGGGTAATATGTTCTATCATGGCTTAATTAGCTCAATAGGACTTCCACGTGCACTTGTTTTAAATATAAGAGATGGGTACTGTATTGGGCTAAGAGTTAAACTGCTTGGAGATTTTACTGAAGTTGAAAAAAAGAGTATTCGAAGTTGAAGTTGAAAAAGATCATTTGGATTTTCTTGGACATGAATATAACTTGGAGAAACGATGACATTTTGGAAGTGAGAACTATTATTTGACTTGAAATACTTCTCAAGCATTTTTTTCAACTTTAAATTCTCTATTTCTAGTTGAAGTTGAAATAATGGACGGAATTGTAAAACAAACATTGACTTCCAAATAATTTTTCAATATTTGCAAATAATATTTGGCTGAAGTTATGTCTAAATTCCTACGAAGTTAAATGAATGCATTGGTGTCCCTCACGATGACTATAGCGCTTGCTTCCTTGCCAATCCAAGAATGAATTGTTTAGCATCAAAACAAGAAAATGGCATTTGAAGGGGATAGCTATTGGACATCGAGGGACTATTGTACGCCGAAACATGCATGGAAAGTCTTGAGATATATGAGTTACTATCCTTCTCATATTATTTCCTAAACGTTTTTCTTCTAAAATTTTGAGACCTGCACTTTAAATAGAAAAGTTAAAATCATGTAACAAATTGAATTATGTATTAATGTGAAGTCCAAATTTTGTGTGCCCATTTGGATAGTGAGAGTAGCATAAATACATCTGAGTGCTGTAAGATTATGATAGTTATGAAACTGTAGTCGTCTTTCTATAATGTTTGTTGAAGCTAAGATTGGTTTGTGTTGCATAGTTTACTATGTTTCTGGTCATGCCTTGTTCTTCCTTAAATATATTGCACAGTCGAGGAGTACAAGGCTGTATAACAAGTTTTCAATAATCATTAGTGCATTTGGTTAAAGATCAATTTACAAATGTTATGTCAGGCTAACAGGTTCAATGTGCTTAGAAGTTAGAACTTTCCTCATCAGAATTCCACAGACTGGGGGATGTAAGGTGACATGCATGAATTGTCCCTGTTTTGAATCCAAGCCTTAAGTTTGGGCTGTCATGAGTGGACCTCACCTGCCAGAGAACAAGGTTTGGGCTATTTATATTGCTCTGATACTCAATCTGGCAACTGCAAAGGCTTCTAAATGTCAGCAAAAGAGTGGTGTCTGTACTTGATATTACAGAGGCTGTTTATAAAGATTTTTATGCTGACTTGGGTGGCTGGGCATTAATGGAGGAATTTTGGAGTTTATCTCATGCTCCTTGCCTGACTTCAGTTGGTTAAATTTGGAACAATACTTGTTGCAACAGGCTAGTACCATGTGTCCCATGGTTTTATCTGTCATCAACTGGTTTCCTTGATTGTTCATGATCCTTAAGATTTCAGGTCTACTAAATTTTCTTGAGTGGATAAGTTCTGCATTTCTAATTGTATATTCTTGATGGTTATTGATGATGGCAGGTGGGAGGCAGGAAAGTTGGAATTGTTGGGCTGGGAAGCATAGGCCTAGAAGTTGCAAAAAGGCTTGAAGCATTTGGCTGCATTATATCATACCAATCGAGGAAGAAAAAGCCTGTTGTCTACTCGTTCTATCCCGACGTTCATGAACTAGCAACCAAATGTAATGTCCTTGTCATTTGTTGTGCATTGACAGACGAAACTCATCACCTGATCAATAAGAAGGTACTACTGGCACTCGGTAAAGAAGGAGTAATCATTAATATTGCACGAGGAGCCATAATCAATGAGATGGAGTTGGTGCAATGTTTGGTGCAGGGACAGATTGCAGGTGCTGGCTTGGATGTTTTCGAGAATGAACCTAATGTTCCTGAAGAGCTCTTTTCATTGGATAATGTTGTACTGTCACAACATGTCGCGTTTTTTACCGAGGATTCTTTTCGAGATTTGTATGAACTCATGTCAGGAAATTTGGAAGCTTTCTTCTTGAACAAACCTTTGCTTTCTCCAGTTTTAGATGACTAAGATATTCTTTTCAACTGGGAGATCTATATAATGTATCCTGACTTCCTGATCTGTTTTCATATTTTCAACGTCTCATTCTGGATACTCTCAGCAAAAGTGGAGTATGAATCTGCCTTTTGTCCCGCTTGACAAAAAACTTCCTTAACCTATTGGCGTATTACTGGAAGCAAGTTCTGTAGGATCCTTTTAATGGAGAAGCATTCTCCATACCAAATATGAAATGATTGTGCTACAACCAGGAGAAAAGCATTTGATTCATCTGCTACAACTCTGCAGAAAGAAGCTGCTTGTTTTATGACATTGTACTTGTGCGCATGCGAATGCTTGTCGTATACAACTTTCAGTGTTTGATTTCAGTGATGTTAGACATAGAAATCTGTCAATATGAGTTTCTATTTTCAACGTGTGGTTTCTCTGTGATCTCATGTTAAGGGATTACTCCTTGTAGTGTGAAAATAGAATTTCAGCTGATTGTCGTTGTTAATGGTGTCTTCTTAATGCCACAAATAAAGGGTTTACCATTTCTTAATGCCACAAATGAATTTATAAATCTACCACTCTATATAAGTTCCTTTTTAATTGGTAGAATAGAAACTTTTATCTATTCTATAGAGTTTCTGTGTTACCCGAAAATCAAGTTCGTAGCTTTAATATATAGTCATGGCAATCTGGCAATCACCTTTAAATGTATTACCGGTCAATGTACTTAAACTTTACATGTTGTATTTCCTTCGCAATAATCAAAACACTGAGGCTTGTTGTTTCTTTATTAAATAGTTATCTGCTGCTAGATATTCATACACCAGTTATTTATCCTTTATCTAATGTTTGCTTATCGCGTGGGTGAGGTTGTGATCAAATGTATTATGTCATGAGTTGGCATTTGAACTTATTTTTTTCACCTCAACTCTCTTCCCCGCATGAACCTTACCTTTGACCTATTAATCCTTTACCAAAAAAAAAAAAAAAGAATCTTTCTTCTAAGTTTGAATATCCAAGCCTTAATATTTGATATTAAGAAAAAATCGAAATGCAAATCAAATAAAAAATCAAGACTATTAACTAGATAAAAATATTTTTCTCAAAAAAAGGAATTTAAATTATAGCGGTTTCTAATTCTAGCTCTATATATGGCTTATGTCAAATGAAAAAGCACTAGCTCTATATATGCCTTAATTCTTCAGTTTTGATGAATTCATGAAAAATGAAATTACAGTTAAGAAATCAACATCAACACCTAATATTCCTGTAATCAGAAAAAACCAAACCGAAACAACAAAAGCAGAAAATTCAAGAAATTATCATATATTGCTTTAATTTGTCTTTTATAGTTGACAAACTGAATAATCTTTCCGTACACAAAACAAGAAAAAGATTCCTCCAAAGATTACTCTCAAACTCATCAATGGCAAAACCCAACACTGCTTTGCCGGAGGTAATAGTCCTAGGTCAGCCAACGCTTTTCAATATCTACGGCGAACAGTTATCCCACAAATTCCGATTCCTTAAACCATGGGAATCTTCGCTTCCATCGGAACAATTTGTTTCCACACATGCTCAATCCGTACAAGCCATGATTTCTTCTCCCAAAGATTTCGTTGGCAAGATTTCTTCCTCCTTGTTGTGCCTCCTCCCTTCGCTCCGAGTTATCGTTACCACCAGCGCTGGCGTTAACCATATTGATCTCGTCGAGTGTCGCCGCCGCGGAATCTCAGTTGCTAACGCTGTTTCCGTTTTCTCAGAGGATGTAGCTGACTTTGCTGTTGGATTGTTGATTGATGTTCTTAGAAAGATTTCTGTTGCTGATCGGTTTGTTAAGAATGGTCTTTGGTCACTTCATGTGGATTTTCCCCTCTGTTCCAAGGTAATGCCACTTTGCTCTTCTGTAGTTCTTGTTCTGTCTTCATCCCAATTTATGTGATGTTTGACTAGGCATGATTTTGTTTTTTAAAAAAGGAAATTTTATGGAACTTGTGGTCTAAAATAAGCTTGTATGACAATACATTTCTCACTAAGCACAAAAATGGGAAGTGTAAAGTTAAATTGTTTCTAAATATAGAAAGATATTATAGGGAACAGACTAACCACAAGACGGAGGTCGTAATATGCTACTGAGCCTGCATAGCCAGTGAAATTGATACTATCATCTTATTGACTTTTTATGTATGATGTTTAAACTTTTCTTCTAATTTCATATGGTGATTTACTCATAGTTACATTTAGAAGTCTCATGTATATTATGTCAGAAATCATCTGTGTGGAAATTAAGTATTTGACAAATGAATTAGTGATATGGTTTCGAGAAGCATAGCTACCTTAGCAACCTGCATTTATATCAGGCACAAGTAGGATTTACATTCCTTTTCCATTTTCAAAGGCCCAAGCCTAATAATTACCTCGGCTTAGGAAAAAATTAGAAAGCAATTGAATTTCTTGCGTACTGATGCACAGTGGCGGAGGCAGGATTACCGCCAAGAGGGTTCAAAAAAAGGAAAAAATTAAAAGGGTTGTAGCTAGTGGGAATAGAATCAATGACCTTACAAAGGTTTTTAACCCCCTTGACCACTAAGCTATGCTTTTGGGCTGTGTCAAGGGGATTCAAAATATAATATATAGAGGTAAAAAATAGATTTTGCCTTACATATACAGTGTAATTTTTCGGCGAAGGGGGTTCGGGTGAACACCCTTCCGCCCCCCTAAATCCGCCCCTGCTGATGCATATCTTTTTGTTTCGCTTAATATGACTGTAAAGAAAAAAATGTTTAAATTTGTGGTTCGGAAAATTATCCATCATAACAAGTTGTTTCTTTGACTGAAAAGAACAATTTAGTGAAAATGTTGTAGGTCTACAATATCTATTTCCCTTAAGCAGGAAAGAAGATTTTATATCCCAAACGTGAAAATTTTATTCAATGTTGATGCAGAGAAAACGAAAGTTTCCCACTCATATTTGATTCAAGTGAAGTACTAGCATAATTTTTAGCTTCTCCTATCACTCCACTTCTCCTACTGTCTAATCAGAAACTTTTTTTCATCTAGGCTGCTTAAGGGTTTTCTCTCTAATACTTCCCTGCAATACCTCAGTTAAACTTTGTCACACGAAAGGCAAAACCACAAAAGTAACGAACAACGTAGAAAGGAGCCTAAGGTTCATAGGCACACACCTATTTGCCCATTTTAGGTTGTTTGTGAGCTCAATATGTGTACTCTGTCATATGATGGCTTAGTTAGCTCAATGAGACATCCACAGGCACACATTGCAAAATTAAGAGATGGATACTATGTGGGGCTAACTGCTAAATTTAAAATGAACGCAATTGGTGTCCCTTATGATATCTCTATATCCCTTGCCTACACACCAGTCCAAAAATGAATTATTCAGTATCGCAGCAGGAGCTCGACATTTGAAGTGGGGAAGGTTTAAACATCAATGGACTATAGCACACTAAAAGGTGCCAAAAAAAAACTGCACTATTTCACAAATGGGCATGCTAGACATATGTACATCGATCGGTGGATTTGCACCTTAGATCTTTCTATAGATAGTTGGGGTATCCACCCCTATGCCCATGATCTATTCGGAGGAATTAGTCTTTCAGATCAGCGAGATAGCTGAATGGTTGATAGCCCCGGGCTTGAAAACCGATATAGTTTTGAAAGAAAAGGTGCAAGGAAAGTTTTGAGATATATATGAGTCAATATCCTTCTTAGAAACATTTCCTAAAACGTTATTAATGATCAAATGAACAAATTGAACTATTTATTTGATAGTTCGAGGTTCAAGATGGTTTTCTGATTTTTATTGTTTTTTGTTAGAAAACTGTCAGCAGAATTCTTCCTAAGAAATCAGAGAAAAGGAAAAGATCATTATAGTTTCTGCAAAATGTAATTCTAAGTAATTGCCCCCATAGATCCTATATCTCTCTATATGAAGAAGAAATCATGTAGGGAAGGGGATTCTTATTTGTACAAATGGTACTTCGAGCTTGGAACGAGCATGAAGAGAACTGTAGTTGTCTTTCTATAATGTTTGTTTAAGCAAAGGTTGGTTTCTGCTGCATAAAACTATGTTTCCATGTAGAGCAATTACAGACTTGAGGATTAACAAGGCTGTATAATAAGTATTCATATCAGTAGTGCGTTTGATTAATTACTAATGTCATCTCAGGCTGTCAGGATTACTTTGCTTATATCTTTCCTCATCCTTAATAGAGTTCTACATAGTGGGAAATGAAAAGTGACGTGCATCTGTTGTCCCTGGTTTGGAACTAAGCCTAGTTGTGGGATGCTGTCATTAGTTGGCTAACCTGCAAAGAGATTAAGGTAGGGATCTTGGCCTCTGATACTCAAGCTGGTAAGCCTCTGGACAAAATCCAACTGTTTGCAAGAGAGTGGCGTCTATACTTGACATCAATGAGGCTGTTCATAATTTTTTTTATGCTGGGTTTGGGTGGGTGGACAGTCATCGAGGTATTTTGGGTTTATTCCATGCCCCTTACTGGAGTTTGGAACAACATTTGTTGCAATAGGCTAGTACCAGTAGACCTTGTTTAAGATTTTAGGTCTAGTACAAATTTTGTGTGGATAACTTTCGCCTTACTAACTGCTAGTTCTTGATGGTGATTGATGATGGCAGGTGGGAGGCAGGAAAGTAGGAATTGTTGGGCTGGGAAGCATCGGTCTAAAAGTTGCAAAAAGACTTGAAGCATTTGGATGCATTATATCATACCAGTCGAGGAAGAAAAAGCCTGTTTCCTACCCTTTCTATCCTGACGTTCATGAACTAGCGACCAAATGTGATGTTCTTGTCATTTGTTGTGCATTGACAGAGCAAACTCGTCACTTGATCAATAAGGAGGTTTTACTGGCACTTGGGAAAGGAGGAGTTATCATTAATATTGCACGAGGATCCGTAATCAATGAGATGGAGTTGGTAAAATGTTTGGTGCAGGGAGAGATTGCAGGTGCTGGCTTGGATGTTTTCGAGAATGAACCTAATGTTCCTGAGGAGCTCCTTTCATTGGATAACGTTGTATTGACACGGCACGTTGCTTGTTGTACAGAGGATTCTTTTCGAGATTTATATGAACTCATATCAGGGAATCTGGAAGCTTTCTTCTTAAACAAACCTTTGCTTTCGCCAGTTTTGGATGACTAGAAGATAGTGTCTCAACTTTGATGCCTATATTATAAGATCAGCCTTGATATTTATCGACATCTCATTCTGGATACTCTCTGCAAAAGTGGAGTACAAATCTGCCTTTCGTGCTGCTCAAGAATAATTTCTTAACCTATTTGCATGTTACTGGAAGCAAGTGGTGTAGGATTGTCGGAATGGGGAAAGTGTTTTCTGTTTTCCATTACAAATGCAAAACCACAATGCTATATCCAGGGAGGAAGCAATCTGATTCAGCTACAACTCCGCAGAAAGGAAGCCATTTGTTTTATGCCATTACATGCAGTCGTGCAGATGCTTGTCATATCCTAAGTTAACAAACAAAGAACTGCTTTCCCTTGTTCTTGAGAAGAAGCTAAGTTAGCGTCCATGAAAGACTTGTATTATATAAGTTTGGCAATTCCGTTCTGTCAAAGAATGCAAGATTTAACATGTTTAACCCTATATTTTTTATAACCCTTTTAGGGATTTTCTTTTGCATGAGTTAGTTGTCTCATTTCCTTAGGCAAATGGTTCTGTGCAGAAGTAGCTATCTGTTTAGTTTAACAAAATTCGTCTGGCTATTCTGCCTTCTGCCTTTAGGGTCAGCAGATGCACGATTATTCTAGTCAATGTTCAGTATTTTCTTGACTGGCATCTTTAATCAATTTTAAACGTGATGTTAGACATTAATGCTGAATTATGCTTCTTAATGCTTAAATTGTAATCTGCTGCTAGATATTCATACACCAGACTATTTGATCCTGTAGCAACTTTTCCTCACTTTTTGGGTTGAAGATAACTTGAACTATTTGATATCTTGTTCTATCCTACCCAAAAAGCCTGAGTTCTTTTTCAGAACGATTTCATCCCTTTGACATATAACATATTGATTGATTTAATAAAGCTATAAATCAAAGCTAGTGGTAATCATAGATGTTGTGGAACAGTTTAGATTTCGTTTAGTTTCAAAGTGGAGATAAATTGATAGTATACATAATACTGCAGTTCTCTTTTTTGTACTTGTGCTGATGGGAGGTAATATGTATCCAGCAGAATAGTAAAGATGAGCACAATCCAATCTGCATATAATTGCAGTTGAGGGTTAGGCTAGCTCGAACGGTAGAACTACTTGAATGGTTTTGTTCGTTAAGGAAGATGTTGGCAAAGCAATATGGCCTCTATCATTTGGTCTTTACTAGTAGCGGCGAAGCCAGGAATTTTACTTAGGGTGTTTAAATTTGAAAGAAGTAAAAAAAAATCCATGACAAAGGATGTTCAATATATGTTATATACATCTAAAACCTAATATTTTACTTATATATGCAGTGTAATTTTCCGAACCATAACCATAGTGTAGCTTCGCCCATGTTTACTACATAGGACCACATTTTAAAGTTATGCAATGCTTACGTTACCTTTGTGATAAAAAGTTGATACATACTCTAAAGATGTAGGACATGAATTGGATAAAAGCGACAGTTGTAGGGGCATTGCCATTTAAATGCTGGCTGGCATAGGCATATGCATATGCTAGGATTGTTACTGTTGCTGAAGTATTCATCACCTCATTTCTTATGGTTAAATGGATTGTACTTATCCGCTAAGTTTGGCAATGGATTATGATTATTTTACTTGGCACAACGGAACAAAATTAGATACGTGGAGTGATAATTACTTGAAATCCTACTAATTATTTGTTTATAGGCATTTAAACTAAGGTTTGAACTATTAATGTAACTAGAAACAAGGAAGCATCTTCATCTTTGTTTTATATCATGTCAACGCTCAAATACTTAATGAAAACTGCCATTAGTTTGATGTTATGTGCTGTTTTACTTGTCTGTTTTGCTGAATTATTGCATATGCCGACTGTTAATTAATTAATAATGTCAAAACATACGTCATTTTCATGCTTAGGTTAACATGAGCATCTAGAAAAATTTCTTTAGCCGTGTTTGCTGCTGTGAATTTATCATATTCATTAAATATTTAGCCCTTAGTTATTTGTCCCCGTCCTTGACCTAAAAAAGTTTTCAGTTTTCTTTGGTTAGCCAACAGAATCAAAAACAAAAGTTGGGACAAGTGTTTCACTTTTGACATGTCAAGCTTTTCTTGTGAATTGCTCCAACACTTGATCCTACTTTCTACCTAATGTTGCCCCTTGAACAAGAACTTTAATTTGATGCAACTGTGGAGTTATAGTTTTTAACCAAACTCCCCAAGACTATCTGTACGTTTTGAAAGACCAAAGGCAAAATAGCTAAAGCAAGATATTAATGAAACTTGTATTTGTGTATATCTTATAATTAATAAATGTTTTTCAAAAAAAAAAAAAAATCCAAGATCATTGAGTTGTTTTGCTATGAATTAACCTTCACGTGCTTTTAATGCATTTATGTTGCGAATAATCACATTGCATGGCCTAAATATTACACAAAATCAAAATAGAGATCATTCACTTTCCATAATCAAAAGTTATGTTACATAGTCATATATACTTGATTATATGAAGAACCAATTAATTGAATTTCCATTGATTTAATCATGATAATTAAGTGGCACCAAATATTTACATAATTCTTTTAGCAAAGTAAAATTTAAAGCTAATTTCTGGGATATAATAAGAAGTTGCATGTGATTTGGAGTGTGTAATTATCAGCAGATACAGTCTCCAAAAGCAAGCAATTTAAATCATGATTGAAAAATCCATATCCATTACATCTGATTAGGGCTGACATTATTTACAACATTAGACATTAATATTTGTGGTTGTGTACTTGTCCATAAAAAAACATTTCAGAAGGTAAATGATGTTTAAAATTTCTTTTTATAATTAGCTTAAACATCTTGTAGTATATGTGTATATATTTCCAAAAATGTTACATCTTCGGCTTCCAACTGGGACTCATATTTATGTATTAGAAACAATTTTGATAATGTCGATGTTAGAATTCACCATACAAAATATAACGCTATAAATTGCTATAGTATTTTTGACTTTATTTTAAAAAAAAATCAAGTTTCACAAACTAGCAGATATTTTTCTATAGTGTGACATAGTGACAGTAATAAGTATGAGGAACTATCAGACAAGACATGTGCAACCCCTGAATGAAAGAGCACCCTAGGCATTTTGCTAACTAGTACTCACATTAACATACTCATTCTATTTCCAAACAATTGGCAAACAGCTTACAATGGAGACAATAATATTTAAAATTTGTGCCTCCCAAATAAAATGTACAAACTGATAATAATAATAATAATAATAATAATAGTAATAATTTGGCTGGTTAAAAAGATATAGAAGAAATAATGATTTCAAAATTCTGTGTTTGCTATCACGCGTAGAACAGTAGAATTAAAGCAGATAACGTTTGTAGCTTTTGTTTCTGAAATTGTTTTCTTTTTTTTTGACTTCAAACCTTTCATAATTCCTACAATTATTTTACATCTGAAAGCACTTTATTGGGGTTGTACTTGTAGCGAGCAGTTTGTCCATTTTTGTTTTTCAAATAAAACTTAATGGCACTCGTTTTTTCTCAACACATGCACATAACATGTCTTATATATTAGCTATTTCGATTTTAGATTAACCATTTATTTCACTGTACGTAAAGTAAAACATTAATAGTGACAATCGTATAAGTTACCTCTCTTGTTGGTTCAATATGACTTTCTTGCACGCTAGGTTTTTCTGATAAGAAATCTAGAAAGTGAATAATTTTTCTAAATTAATGAGTGGGTTGACACCCCTAATCAAAAGACTTATCTTCAATTTCTTTAGAGAGACATTGACACGACACTGAAGTAATATTATTCTGTTTAATACGAATTGTACAGTTGGGTGCGAGGCGCTTAATATACATTATATTGACTTGAAACTCTGACTTCGAATGTGATATTAATGCTTTCAAGTTTTATTTTCTAGAATAGGTAGTTTTTTCTTACGTTTATTTAGTTAGTATTTGAAAATTGGTAATCATAGCAAAAGCTTATTGAAGTCACGGTCGGGTTTGCGTTAATCCAAATAAGTTTCGGTCAGCTATATGAATCATCAATGATTTTATTTATTTTATTAAATTTATCTCAAACCAACATTATGTAAAATAAAATAGAAATAGAAAGTACTAAATTTCTTTATATTTTTAAATGGTATTAAAATCTATATTAGGACTAAAATACTCTTAGAAAGCATATGCATAAAGTAGAAGTCATTAAACATAATTAATATTTATAATTAAAACATAATCTCAACTGAATAATATTTATTAGATGTTTTTTATCCTAATGTCCTATCTTACGTTAAGTCTGCATCGATCGATTCCAAGAGATTGTAGGCCTTTAAATATAATTTTTCATGTGATGTTAGGTCTACCTAGTTCACTTTTAAAACCTTCATCTACCATGACTTCACATCTACATATCGATATATTTAGAGATCGACACAAAATATGACCAAATCATATCAAACTAGGTACTCTATTTTGTCCTTAGTGTGTGCTACTTGTACTTTTTAACGAATGTGATAAGTTTAAATTTTGTCTGATCACATATTTATCTTAACATCAACATCTGACAAAAATAAAGAGGAGAAAAAAAGGAAAATCTTTCTTTCCATTCAAACAAGAGAACAAACAAATCACCTAAAAGTGAAAGATAAAAAAGTGTTATAAGTCAGACATAAAAGAGGCCATATTGGACTACGTACATCAAAAAGAGGTATGCCGAATCATTATTGTTATCAAGGTACCTAAATCTAAATAAAGGAAAGATGCATTTTGTCTTAAGGGTAACTATTTCTTTTTAATACGTTGATATTTTGCGAACTTGTCGAGTTTCTCCTAAACCTGAACCAAAAACAACTCCAACGAGACACAAACCTTAAATTTCAATATAAATCTTTGCCTTATCATAAACATGAAAGTCAATACATAGTATATATACATATGATTTATTTTTTTTACCTAACTACACAATATATTTTTCCCGTGAAGGGGTATCATTTGACACCCCTTCCTATAAGGTAGCTCTGCCACTGGTAGTAGAGCAAACAGTAAAGGGTATGTAGCATTGTTTACCTGAAAAATCGGATAACGTTAAATTTAGATATGGTTCTAAGGGTATACAAAATTCTTTGATACAAAATGACAATACAGGTATTTTTGCTGTAAAATGAGAATGATGGACGGGAAGACTGAAATGTATTAGAAAAACAAAGCACAATGAAATCTTAATGTATCTTGGAAGACCTGCGTCTATTGCAGTCTATCCCCCTTTTATAGTAGAGGATCACTGCTTTATCTATAATAACATAATAAAATAATACATATAGTGGAGGACCCATGATGGTTTGTCTCTTCCTTGATTCTCGCCAAGATTCTCCCCCTCGGTGCGGTTGTAACGGCTCTTGTTTGCGAGCTTGGCACTGGCTCGAGCTTGGTGTTAGATCGAATCCCCAGTCTTGGTTCGAGCTCGGTTCTGCCTTGGGTCATCGA